GGCAATTTTAGTGTTCATAACTTTGCATGTTTTTATTAGACAGGATTTTTCCAAAGTAGGTGAGGTTCAAGACCCACAAAGCCTGGGTTTCAGGTAATTATAACTCGGTTTCTTGAATGAAACCTCTATGTTATTGACAAACCCCAGGTGAACAAGTGAGAGGTGTGCTAGAGTCTATTTTGAATGTGAAGTCCACCTCAAAGACAAGCCAAGAGCTAATTAATTAATAAAGCAGCATTTTTAACTTTGTGTTTTGTTTTGGTGGTGGGAGGTAACTCTTATTTCTTTATTCTCTGAGGAGATACTGGTACTGCTAAGTTTAATATTTCTTCCTTATCTGTAATTTTTGTCGCTTTGATTACTATGTAACTTGGTGTGCTCCTCTTTGGGTGGATCCTGTGTGGAACTCTGCCCTTCCTTGACGTGGGTGACTGTCTCCTTTCCGAAGTTGGGGAAGGTTTTGGTTATTAGGATGTAGGCTGTGTTTGAAGGCTCCCACTGTCATGGAGAGCAAAGGTCTAGGACAAGCTAAAGCAATGCAGATCTCACTGTCCTGACAGAAGTTCTGTTCTAGGACTTCTTCTGGAGGATGCAGCCGCTCTGGCTCAGGGACTTGTACAGACCTCTCAGTGCCACACGCAAGAAAAAAATGGCGCAGAAGCTACATGATGAGTCTTCTGATGAGGAAGAGATTTTCAGTAGGGTTGCGAGGTAAGTGATCGGGGACAACTTAAACTTCTCATCCAAATGAGGAAATAATGAAAATTTTAACTGTCCCTTTCAAGAGTAAAGGCCCTCAGCACTGTTGTTCTTACCCCAGGGTACCCAGAGATGGCGCAGCTGACGTGATTCTGACCATCGAGCCGGAAGAGCCGGATGAGGAGAGTGACACGGCACCGGGGAGCGACGCGGTGTGAGCCCCGTCCCACCTCAGGCCGCCTGTGCATTTTATTTTCTAAAAATAATAACCTTTACAGTAATTTTTGGTCCTTACGTATTTTTTCCCAATTAATGTCTACTAAAGGTATAACTGTTATCATGAGGAGGTCCAAAGACCATCTGTCTTTGAGTATTGGTTAGGGATTCTTAAGTGGGATGTGCTCCAGCAAAGACAGTAAAGAAAGCAAGAAGAGAAGGGAGCCAGGAAAAGGCCCAACCCCGGAAGCAGGGAGGGGCAGTTCCAGGATGGCAGCTGTGTGACTGGCCGAGGAGGTGACTAGCACACACTGGAGCGCAGAACCTGGAGGAGGGGGCTCTGAGGGAAGTGGGCGCTGCTAAGCCCCAG